ATTGGAGATCCCAAGATCTAGGTTCAAAGGGACAACCGAGTTGTGATTGACTCAGAAGGATCACTGGGAAGTCTAACTCCTACCCATTTCTTTGATGAAATAGTGATGTCTGCGGCGGTTTAGGTTAAGTAATACTTTTAATGATTCTTATATCTAGGTAAACCTAGTGGAGTATGACAGGATACTCTTCATAAGCATTTTATGGCAAGGTTGAGGTCTGCCATTTATGGTTTAAGTCCACCATTGCATGCTTATCATATGCTTGTTGCTTATTTGGTTCATTATATGTTGTCCCATGCTAGCCTTATGGCATATTGGTCCATGTTTGCATCACATTTGCATCTCATATGACTAGCATTTTGCATACTTAACATGATAGATTGCATCACATTTGACATGTTTTGCATCTTAGTATCATGTTAAATTTTGAGCCATGTTTGCATAACATGCATTGCCTTGCTTGGTTTGGGGTGTCAAACCAAGTGTGGGGGATGAGGGGTGTTTGTACTTTGAGTGACAAAACACACCTCAACCTTCGGTCACCGAGGCCCTTGACTTTGGCATGATAGGATCTTGGTCCTCATTTGTGTGTTGCATGCATTTTTACATTGAATTGCAACCTTGGCTCCTTAGGCTATCATGCATCAAATGCACAATTGATAGCCCGAGGGTCAAGGGCCATGTTCCCTTGAGTCCGTTACATGATTGGGAGAGTAGCCATGCATACACTTGCTTGAAATTCCATGCCATACACTGTCTGTCCTTGTTGCTGTCAAAAACCAGATTCTGCAGGGACTTTTTGCCGACCGGCAGTGTTCAATGCCGACCGGCAATCCTTCTTGGGCCGATAGCTTCATCAACTGCCGATGGATATTTTCAATGGCCGGTGGACATTTCCTTCAGCCGATGGTGTTCCACAGTTTTCAGGGGACCTGTCCCAGAACTTTGGCAATTTTCAGAGAAGCAGGGCAGTGTAAATAGAGGCGGCAGTTGTATGGTACGGACTTTCCGGGCGAGACGGGTTCGAGCATGCATCATTCGCGCATCCCGAGGCGGGGGCTGTAGCCACCTTTCTTTTTGCATTCATTCTGTTAATTAATTATAAATTTTGTAATAATTAATGTGTTTATTATTCGAACTGTAATATTTATTTGGTCCCTCCGAGCGAGGGCGAATCTGTAATAAGTGTGGGTGCGTGTGTGTGCATGTCTTCCAATCCCCACTTCTTTCTTCCCTTTTACTTACCTGCTTTGATGGTTAGTAATAGGTCATGTTTAATTTAGCATACCTTATGCTATGCATGCATGCATCATTCATCAGTAATGCATGCACCAGGCTCGGCGCATCATGCTAACTGCATTAGTATTTCAAATCTAACTTGAATACATGCTACCTGTGCATTTTCACATGTCATTCATAGACTAGCCGAGCCTACTCTAGTGACATTTCGTATGCGTTGCATTAGGCGTTTAAACATGGACTTGGATCATGCATTGATTGCTAACGAGTTCTTTGTTTTGGCACGGAGTACGATGTAAGTATTTATGCTTCAGCATCTCGCATGAGTGTGAATGTTAACATGACAGCATGCTTACCATGCGGCTAGATGCTTATGTGTTATAAACTGCTTGAATGCCTGTGGATGAAGGTTGAATTACTTAAATTGGAAAAATGCATTAAAACTGTGAGTTTTAAGCCCACTAGATAGTGGCAAAATCATGTTTTTCTAAAAGCCCGCTTGAAGGTGGCAAAACCCGCATTTTAGCCTACTTGCGAGTAGCAAACTATTTTTCGAAACAAACTTGAAATGTTTCGTTCCAATTTAGGCGATTTGGTCTATACTTGGTTGATGTGCGCATAACATAATAATTCTAGGCTAATAACCGGAATAAGAACACATAACGTTTTCAAAATTGGACATCATGGTTAGTAGAGGTCGATCTTCGGATCGGGCGAGAGGGGGTGCTCATAGCTGACCTTCCCCAATCGTACCCTAGCTCCCGAGCCGAGGCAACTTTGGTGATGACGGACACGTGGCCTTTGGCACCGAGTCAGGGTTTCCTAAATTCCCCCATCATTTTAAAAATATTTAGGTAGCGACTCTGTATCTAGCAAAGCAGTCCATGTTTGGCACTACTTTTTTCAAAAATTTGTTTCTCAAAACAATTTGCCAGATTTGGACTCTTTGGTTCAGATTAAGAACCGTGACACAAATCGAGTCCGAACTGTAGCGAAGGCCCACGCGGGCGCGTCTACCAAAACGATTTGCCAGATTTGGACTCTTTGGTTCAGATTAAGAACCGTGACACAAATCGAGTCCGAACTGTAGCACGAAGGCCTCACGCGGGTGCGTCTACAATATCCCATACCCTAACTCAAGTGTCCAGTGACCGACACGGGTATTTCACAAATTTAGAAAGTCCATATAACATAGATGCAAGCTATGAAGCATAAACACCTCTTTGGGACCCTTTTTTAGTTTTTAATTTTTTATTTTTTTTTATCAAAATAGCATACCGAGGTTGATGAATTTGATGAGAATTAATATTTGGCATAACATAAATATATAATATTAAAAAATGACATAATAATTATATAAAATTGTATGCTTTGTACGTGTCCCCAACGTTTCGTGTCATACATTTTTGAAAATTTGCATGTTCGCGTGTCTTTATCGTGTCACGTGTCCATGCTTCTTAGGATGCAAGGATGAAGTTTTAAGTCCTTGTTTATTCTATACTACATTAGAAATTGGGAAAGTTACTCCTGCAGAGACTGTTTTACCTCAGTTCCATACTGGTCAGATAAACAGAGACCCATTCACCACTACATGAGGTCAACTCAATTTTGAGCTTGATTGCTAAACATGTGGACACGAAACAGAAGTTACAGCATGATTGTTGAATATGCAAAAGTTTCAAATGAATTTTTCAAGTTAATATCTACAAAAAAAATAAAATGGACAAATAAGCAAACATTTTTCCATGACTTGGTATAGTAAGATTATCAAATTTGGGCCTTGAAGTTTTTCAGTTTTCCCAACAATAGAAAGGCTTCAGGAGGAGCTCTGATTTCCGTTGTTGTTGTGCCGCCGTAGAAAGGGGCCGTTTGCTAATAAACTTGTCAGAGCTAAATAAGCTCAAATTGGGACCTTTTTTTGAAAATAAAAAATAAAAATTTACTAGGTAAATTACAAATACACCCCTGAGATTTTCTTAAAATACGAATTGCCCCCTGTGGTTTGAAAAATTACAAATACCTCATTGTTAGAATTTTTTATTTAACAGAATTAATTGAAAAAGTGAAATTTCTAACCGTTTACCTATACAATAATAAAATTATCCGAATTACTAATTGAAATAAAATTTTAACATTATTGAAAACTGTTAATTAACTTGACGATTTATTAATAAAATGACATATTTGTTATGAAATTTGAAACCTTAGGGGGGCATAATGTAATTTTTAAAACTACAGGGGATAATTTGTAATTTAGGTAAATCTCAGGGAGTGTTTGTAATTTATCCAAATTTACGAGACTAGTCTCAATAATCAAACACATTTTTTGTCCAATGTTAGCCAAGTGTAAATTATATCAATGACCAATTTGTGCTTAAACAATTGTTTTACTTCTGCTTGGCTCTCTAGCACTTCCTCAATCCTGGTTTAATATGGCTCTTCCTCCTCAGTAACTGTGTTATCAGCAACATTTAAAATTCAAATCATGTAGCTCTGGCAAACATCCCTCTCCAGTTTCCACTGCTAGTGCAGATACGTTTTGGGCAGACATTGTCATATTTTCTTTGCAAGTCCATGTTCAATTTGGAACGTCCGAACAAATAAAACTAACAATTTTGTTGACCTAAACCAATTTGACCAAATTTAGTTGTTATTAGGCTGTGAATTTTGCATTTTTGTCATTGGAGGAAAGTTTTCTTTTAACAATCACTATCATCTCTTAGCCGAGACTTTATCTTCCATGGAGCTTCTCATTCTCATCTTGTTGTGAAAGCATTTCGTCAATCACATACAATATGGATTGAATAACTATTTCACCAGCTTGAGTTTTTTCTCATGGAGTAATTTTATCTTCACAACTATCCAGAGGAGAGTTTCCTTCAGCTGGGGGGAAATGATAGAGATCGAAAAAGCATTGGATAAAGATTTAGGGATTTATTTTGGTATTCTTTTATATTTTATTGGATTTTATTACTTTATTAGGTTTTATTGTTTTATTAAGATTTAATTATTGTAATGTTTTATTTTTGGTGACTGTAATTTAGTTAGGGATTCCTATGATACACATATATATAAGGCTGTGTAATAGTTTTAGAGACTAGACTATGATTCTAAATTAACATCATCAATTTGGGTGTTATATGTTTTGACCCCTCTGAAATTGTATTGTTATCAGGTATTAGGCAATGCAAAAGGAGCTGTGGCTGTGGTTATCTCAATACTATTGTTTCAAAATCCCGTCACTGTTGTTGGTATTGGTGGCTACACAATGACTGTTATGGGGGTAATTGCCTACGGAGAAGCCAAGCGGAGATTCAAATGATGCTTTTACACACTCCATTTTTTCCCCCTCTCTGCTGTCCCTGGAACTTTTATCCCTAGGGAGTTGGTAGTGAAGTTTGATGGTGAATCGTCAGCCAGGATCTATGTTTCATCATGGTGTATATTTCCTGCATACAAGAATGTATTCAGTTGCATTATATGCCGGCGTGATTTATTTAGGAGTAAAATATCATTGGTGTAGGCACTACCATCTCTTTGCAAATGCCCATTGTAGTGACTAAGAACCGGAAATTCAAATGTGGTGACCATCGTGTATTGTTAATTTAAGATTTCAGTCTCTAATTCATTACTGGCTGATGTATGCCTAGCCATTGTTGGAACAGTTTGATGCATCCATTGTTTATGATGCTTCTAACTGGAGATATGTTTTTGTGGAGTGCATTAATGAGAAATATGATGGTTTCTTCTGAAATGTTATTTACAGTCAATGGAAGATTGATGTCCAGTTTTCTGTGTTTTTTGTTTGACGTGTTTGTGTTCGTGTTTTGTTTTGTTTTGTTTTTTCAAAATCAAAAAATGTATTATGGTATAGACACTGTAAAAACATATAAGATTTAAAAAAATATGTTCAGTGAATTGTTGAGAACTGAATGGAAAAGGTAATGCTTGGACACATTGTAAAAGGTTTGTATCATGTACAAGCAAGAAGGCAATAATAAGTCACTTTGCACCTTGGAAATTATCATTCCATGATGCAGCAAGCTGCATATTCTTCAATTCTGCAAAATTTAACACACTTCTAGAAGCATGAATACTCCAAAAAGAAGCCCCTGTATGAATATTGGATACGGATACGTGTCTAATATGGTCGGATAAGTATCGGATATGCCAAATAAGAATCTAATTTATTTATTTACTTTCAAAATTCTCAAAGGTTGGTGCTCTCCCTGTTGGACTTATTTTGTCCTTGATTTATTCCCTAGTGATGGACCAATTTTTACTGCATAACTCTTGCTACAAGAGCTACTCACTTGTGTTAATTTGAAGGGAAAATAAAAATAAAAAAAATCATTGTTCCCTGTTTCCAATTTTTATTTTTTTGAATTTTGGTTATTGTGATTTGAGACTATTCAGCTTGTTTGTTTCAAGATTCATGATTCATTTTTTTAAAAAATGATTTTTACTACGTTACTCTTGCTACAAGAGCTTCTCACTTGTGTTAATTTGAAGGGAAAATAAAATTAAAAAAATCATTGTTCACTGTTTCTAATTTTTATTTTTTTGAATTTTGGTTACTGTGATTTGAGACTATTCAGGTTGTTTGGTTTCACGATTCAGGATTCTATTTTAAAAAATTAAAATTGTTTGTTTTTTGTATTTTTTTTATTTATATTTTCACTGATTTTTTTTAATATTTTAAGTATTTTTTAATTTTTAGATACATCTAACATAAATACACTTACAAAGTATAATATTTATGAAAAAAAAATCTTTAAAAAATTTACTAAATACCAAAATAAAAAAAAACGAAAATTCAATACATTTTTGTATTCTTGTATATTTATTAATTTTTTAAAATATTTGTTTACAAATATTTTAACTTTTAGATACATCTAAGTAAGGTACATCTAAAAAATTAAAAAAAAAAATTGTTTAAAAGTTCAAAAATATTCACTAAAAAAAAAAAAAAAAAAAAAACACGAAAGACAACTTTATTTCCAAAAAATTGAAATCAAACACCATGATTGTTATCTCAATGCTTAATTTTGTTATCTTTATCGTTCTTTAAATTTTCTTGAATATTTGATCGAGTCCTCTGTTATCATTTAGTTGTTAATTCTTTGTCAATATGCCTCATTGTTAATTAAATGCTCTTTGATGAACAAAAAATTAGTACTAGATATTTTATGACGTTTTCTATATTTAGTTTTATTTTTATGCATACTTCATTACTAAAAATTATAAAAATAAATTTATTATATAAACGTATCCTTACTGTGCTCGTATTTTACTATTTTAGATTTTTTCGCATCGCCATATTTGTATTGCATCATGTCCATATCCGTGCTTCCTATCCTTTGGCTCTCCCTTGAAATGTATGAGGTGATACAGATATAGAAAAATATGGAGATATCATTCATGTCATTAGTAGATGAAGACATTTGTATCCTCCGAATAAAACATCTTCCAAACAAAACTCACTTCAATACAGAATACAGATGCAATCCAGAATTCACATCACTGATTGAATACAAGTAAATTGCAGGCATTTTTTCTGATGGTAACAAGAGGCAAAATTGAATGCTTTTTAACATGATTCATAATATCGTATTTCATCTATACAATAATGAAGTGTGAAAGAAAAGTTTTCAAATAGCAGTGTCAAAAGTGATCCAAAAACAGTTGAAGAGCCTACCTTCTACAAGTTAAACAGGTCATGATATGAGGTATGTTAGTCACTTAAAAAAAAACAAAAAAACAAAAAAAAAAACAAATTGTTTGCCTTTGTGGTCAGAAAAAATAACATGCGATGAAACGGGTTTTAGATCTTCAAGCCGTTTCTGGCCCACTGGGGAGCTCCTCGTAATCATCATGGTGCTTAGGAGTCTCTTTGTCGACAACAGGGATGCACTTTAAGACAACCGCAACAGGAATGCTCACCGATCCAATCAAGATGCTTAGTAACCAAAATTGCCAGCTCAACGGCACAGTGCTTGCAAAGGCGCCCAAAAACTCAACTATAATAACTTGGAATGTCACCGTGGAAGACATGACAGCTATGAATATCCAGCTGTTGAACATGTTACGGAACACGTTGATCTTCTCAATGTCACGGCTATTTATCTCATTAAACATCTAGAAAATAAAATGAAGAAAAAAAATCCAGTTTAATCAGGTGATGTTATGCTCATCATTCAAAAAGAATACTGAAATAAATGCTAGGCACTTCATTTCTTACCAACATTTTCACGGAACAAGTAAGATCCTCAAAAGTAAATGAGGCATCAATACATAATTATTTTGGCCAGAGGTTTCATTGTTTCGTGAAATCAACAATTTGAAACAAAGGAGAGAGAATTTCAATTGCCTTTCGTGTGAGTATAAAAATTTCAAATATATCTTTTGAGAACAATAAGATAAGAAAAATAATGTGCTAGAGACTACCTGGCAAAACACAAAGGTGTTGAATATTAAAGTATCGAGAACATCACTAGCATCTGAACCTTCAAGTCTCAAAAGATTCTTCCCATCAAAATATAGTACTCCAAGGACAGCCAATTGATAAATACTCTGACCAATAATATTTCTCCACATGGCCATGGTGATAAAACTCACTCCTCTACCAACAGGAGGCCTATTCATAAGTCCATCATTAGGCGGTTCTGTAGCCAGTGCCAATGCACCTAGAGTGTCCATGATCAGGTTGACCCAAAGCAACTGCACAGCCGTAAGAGGAGCAGATCCTGGAATTTATGAGGAATATTGTTATTGTTTGGGTATTGTAATAGAAGGATTAAAAAAAATAAATAAATAAATCAGTTTAGACCGAGAAACCTGTGATGCATGCAGAAACAAAATTGAGCATAAGAGCAACAACATTGACAGTCAATTGGAATTGCACAAACTTCTGAATGTTGATATATACCGCACGCCCCCATTTGCCTAAATTTACTATGGTGGAAAAATTGTCATCCAATATGATCACATCGGCGCTTTCTTTTGCAACCTGTAGTTATCGTTCACAAAATAGTTTAGGTAAAGAAACACAATGAAATTGAAATAACATTAGATGAGATGATTAAGCAATGAAAATGATTTCAGTTATACAAGTTTTTTTTTGATCGGCAGTTATACAAGTTCAAACTGTGCTACTTAAGGTGAACAACTCAGTAGATCCAATGATATGTTAATTTCATGCACGTCAAGACTGTTGCCATAAACTTAATGGCATATGTAAAACAATGGTGCATAAAGAAATACTCTTACGTAGTATTGTTATACTAAAATTTGTCCACATCAAATATGCTTTGTTGAGTAGAGAACTACCATTTTGGGCCAAATAGATGATTACTTGGCAGATTCAGAGTAACTGTAATCAAAGAATGAAAGTATGATCTTACATTCCATGACTTTGAAAGGGGGATTGTCTACTTGATGATCTACATTTTGTGCCAGTTCAGAACTTCTAACTTGGGTTATTTGCGTAAGCTAGTGGATTATGTCACAGTGGGTTTAAAACCTTCTCTATCGGAGAGTTTTTTCCACTGTAAATCATTGTCTCCTATGCGTGTGACTGCTTATTCTTATTGTGGATGAATGCTCTTCCTCACGGCTAAACTAAATTGATTTGGCCCTGACATTACTAATTAATATTGCAGTTAGTGTTCCTTGAAATAAAATTGATTTTTTTTCTAAAAGAATTTAGCACACAAAGAGATCCACAAGTTTATGCTCCCCAACGGGCCTAACTTTCTCTTCATTGTTTGGTTTTCTTACATAGCAGTATTGACAAGTGCACAACAAAAATGAATGTTATTTTTGGATTTGGCACTAACAATGTATAATGTAATCAGCCACTACATTAGTGCTTTAGACAATAAACCCAAGACTCCCAAAAATGATAAAGCTCTTTCATATATATATATATATATATATCAGAATAAGGTGCAGTATAATTTCTTTCATTGTTCTCATTTTCGACTTATCCTCAAATCTATCTTCACATATTTTTTTCTAGAATTTTATCAGTTATGCACAAAGATTAAAAAAAAAAAAGTGCTTCATTCTTTCTTTTCTCTTTTAAAGCATGATACATTGTTAGTGTTTCACGTCCTCCTTAGTCATTCTAATAAATTTTATAAATTTAAAAATGTTATATTCATTCTTATAAATATCTCTATGCCAAGGTTTACTTAAGTGTGCTTTAATGATTTTTTTTCTGCCCCCCTCCCCTGCTGTTACTTTTCAATTTTCCAGGTTCAATGTGTCATGCTCTAGTTAGATCCAGAATCAATCAAACAGTGATCTGGTTTGTAGGGTTCAATTAATCCTAGCTTGAAGTCATATGCAATTTACCAAATGTTATCATTGCAAGCGAAATGCTGCTGCTAAAGTCATAAGTTATAAACAACTTACCTTTTTAATATGAAAAAAGGGAAAAATGAAAAACACGAGAATCAGTGTAATGCATTTCGTAGAAAATAATATATTCAAACTTTCCTGTAGAGAAGAAAAATAGTTTCTAGAGGAAGGAAAACAAGAAAAGTATTATATTAATGAGCAGAATGACTGACCTCTGTTCCTGCTATGCCCATAGCAAGTCCAATGTCTGACTCATGCAAAGCAGGAGCGTCATTAGTCCCATCACCAGTAACTGCCACAACCTCCTCAAACATATTCCTCAAATGGGTTACCAGCATGTGCTTGTCTGAAGGCGAGGACCGAGCCATTACCTGTATTCACGACCATAAGCATATCAGGAAGCAAGTAAATCTTCACCATTATGTATAACAAAAGGTGATAGAAATTAATGCAATTGACTCCAAACCTGAATTCTAGGTATTATATCCTTCAATTCCTCCTGAGATTTGCTATGAAAATCTAGTCCTTCTATGGCCAAACCATCTTCTGTGAGTATACCACATTCTGTAGCAATAGCTTTTGCTGTGTTGATATTATCACCGGTGACCATCCGAACAGTAATTCCTGCTGCCAAACAAGTTTTAACTGCATCCTTGACGCCTGGGCGAACTGGATCCTTAATACCTACAACGGCTATCAATGTATAGCCACTATCAGGGATGCTATTTTCATCAAAAACATTGTCAATATCCTTATATGTCAAGCAGAGAGTTCTCAAAGCTTTTGAGGCAAAACTGTTTATGATTTCTTCAACATCCCTTGCCTGTTCTTCAGACATGTGATCAGGTTCTCCATTGCTATCAACAATCTTGTCGCATGTTCTTAAAATTATCTCTGATGCACCTTTGCAAAATGCACGGAGGCCACCATCTGGAAGAGCCACAAGCACAGACATTTTTTTCTTGACAGAATTAAAAGGCTCAACTTTTAGTATCTTAAATTCCTTACGTTGAGCATCAAAATCACCACCCAAAAGCAACCCATATTCTAACAATGCCGATTCAGTTGCTGTGCCCAAAATTGAATTCTTTCCATCTTTATCCTTCACAACCTCAGCGCCAGTGTTTTGAAATATAGTCTGCAAGAGGATGTTTAAAGCCTTTTCTGGTATATCTCCACCCTCACTACTTTTTATTTCTGTTTCTTTTCCACAAATCCATATCTTATTAACTACCATATGGTTTGTTGTTAACGTTCCAGTCTTATCCGTACAAATACAAGTGGCAGAACCCATTGTCTCGCATGCTGAAAGGTTCCTAACAAGTGCCCTCTCATCCATTAACTTCTTCATTGCAAAGGCAAGACTCAATGTCACTGCCAGTGGTAGTCCTTCTGGGACAGCGACAACAAGGATAGTCACTGCAATGGCAAAGTAATTCAAAAGCTCCAGTGCATCACTGGAAGACCAATCAGTGAACTCATGGTGAATTGCTTTCTCCAACAGAAACCTTCCTATCAGCACCAAAAATGTCAGCACCGCAAAACCCAAACCAATCTTACCAATGATCGTGGCAACGCCATTTAGCTTCACCTGCAATGGGGTCTCATCGTCTCCCCCCTCACTAAGAGTCTCCATCAATTTACCCCATTCTGTTCTCATTCCAACAGTAGTTACTAACATCATACCTGACCCATCTTGCACCATTGTTCCTCCAAGAAGAAAAGGATTTTCTTTACAAATGTTCACTGGCTCGCTCTCACCAGACAAACTTGATTCGTCAATCACCAAACTGTATCCTGATATAAATAACCCATCAGCTGGAACTTGATCACCGATGAATAGATGAACGATATCTCCAACAACCAAATCATATATCTCCACCTTCTGTCTGTATCCGTCTCTAGTGACTTGGACGATAATCTTTTTCTTTTCTTTATCCAAATCCTTAAATTGCAACGATTGGTTGTAATCACTGACTGCAGTGACAATAACTACCAAAAATATACTGAGTATGATTCCCAAACCGTCATACATTCCCTGTGGCCACCCATCAGTGGCAAGTCCTACACCTATAGAAACTACAGCACAAACTATTAGGATTATAAGGGTTATGTCATGCAGTGCATCCCATACAAACATCCAAAAGCTTCTAGAAGGTTTCTCTGTATGTTTGTTGAAGCCATATGTCTTTTGCCTGATAGGTACGTCACTTGTTTTGACACCTTCACTTAATGGGACATTAAGTCGTGTTGCAATGCCGTCAACTTCTCCGAAGAATTCCAACCACTTGGTGTCATGGCTACGAACAAGAGAAGCAAGTTGATAAGGGGAAATTCTAAAGCCTGCTGCTCTGGCCTCTTCAGAAAGCACATCATCTGGGTCAGCAGGAGCAGCTGCAGCAGAAGATAAAAATAAAAAACAAAATAAATGAAGAATAAGTAGGTTGAACCTAATCACATTAAAAAAAACTTTCAATTGGTGTAATGATTTGAAAGATATACCATCAAGAAACCTGACTGCTGCCCTTTGAACAATGAAGAATACTCGTAGTTCTTCCTGGTAAGAAAGGCAGAAAGATAGAATTAGGGGTATGATAAGTGGGAGTCTTGCACACTGGGTATGACCTTTTTTTGATGTTAAGAAATTAGAGAACAACAAAACTTTTTGCTTTAGGTATTGAGAATTTTTCATACCCATGGTTTGGATATCAGTTTAAGCAGCAAGAACCTAGCATTTCTATGGAGGTCCAAAATGGATCAACTGAAGGCAGAGAAGAAGGTAAACCGTCATAGACAAAGACAAATACTATCTGAATCGAAGTTTACTTCAATTCTTCATATTATGTGGAAAATGTAGTGTTTATTTTATTTTATTTTACTTTTTTTGTTGTGTTTTTTTTAAAGTCAGCATGAGTTGTAAGGTGTGCTAATACAATCTTTTAGCTTGCTTAGGGGCAGCCATTAAGAGACTCAAATGCATAGGGTGACAAGAAAAGTTCTACCAACTGTTTGGATAAAGGACAAAGATCGTAGGCAAGGGAAATTTATAAAAATCTTCCCTTTTCCACAGTTTGGAAGATTTAATATGGAGGGATTTAGGTCCATATACAGTTATGTGAGGTGATTTGGAGTGGCAAAAGGAGAAGTGCAACATTTCAGCCAAATAAAAAATTCATCAAAATGATTATTGAGAGTTCCTTTCCTTCCTATTTCTGCTTTTCTCCATAACAAAACCACATAAACTTTTTAAAGCTTAAATTTTCTCTGCTCTGCTCTTCTCTTCTTCTTTTTCAATTAACTAAATGGCACGTTAACTGAGGTCCCAATCTCCAATATACTAGATTGGCAATTATGCATAAAGAATACACCATATGAAACAGATTCAGACATTCCATATTCACAAAATCAAATGGAATTTTTTTTGTGAGAATGTTCATCCATTGTTGTTAGCATTTTCTTCTGGTTTAAAACAACACAACATTGGGCAACTCAGGCAATCAGAATCTGTCTCTTGGAAATAGAGCAAAGGTACATTCAACAACTTGATTTCAATCTTTGTGTCACTTGTTTCCTCAGCATTAGTGAGAGGGAATAAAAATCACCATAAGAACTATATAGGTCCCAATACTGCCACGTGGCACAATTATAGAATATCCTGCGTAAGACAGTGGCCAAGACCTAGTCAAATACTACAACAGTATTATATATGGAGTAGAACTCATCATAAGATGAGATCGTATTGATACAGAAGTCCTAAACAACCGGAGGTTGTTTGGGAGAAGACTTCTGGAGTACTTAAACTACTTACTAAACAAGCAATCAACAATTATAAATAGACCACACCCCCATGGGTTAAGGTACTTTGTTTCTTTATGTAATTTATCCGTTAAATATTTTTTGTTTGGGGGGTGGCTAATAGAGCCAAAAAGCCACTACCAAAAAGTCAACTCTTCTTTCTACTTTTTTACACATCTTTTCAATAAGTCCCCAACTAAAATAGCCAATTTCCAAACCACCTCTTATAATATTGGAGGACTAATTGAGCGTCGGAGGACCCTCGACTGTTCAATGCTTGGGGTTGTTTTCTCTTGTAGATAGTGATCATGCGGTGATTTTGATCATCTTCTTTGTTGGATTTTTTTATCATCAAGTATTGAATTTTCTATATCTGTACAATTGCCACTGTATGTGGGAACGATTGATTTCAATGAAGATGAACTAGCAAGTATGGAGAGATGGATCAACAAAGATGTAAAAAACATTTTATTTGGTTATGCAACCTTTTGCATTGTATTGCATGTGGTGTAAGGCTCTTGGGGAGTCCACGTGATCACTTTCACCAGATAATCATTTAAAATCAAATTGGATTCGGATTACTAATTTCAACAAACAATTCAACTCACACCAATGTTGATGGATCTCACCTTTACGACCAGGGAAGTTTTTAATTAAACTTTTAGAATGCATAAATTTTTATGCATTATAATTCTGAGTATGGAGATATTTTTATCATTTATTACTTCAAATCTTTATTATCTGCGAAGAATAATTTTTTATGCATTATTATTCCAAGCATTGAGATATTTTTATCATTTATTATGTTGGATTGCCATTATCTATAGAGCATAGATTTTTTTGCATTATTATTCTAAGCATGGAGATATTTTTATCATTTAATAAGTCGGATCTTTATTATCCACGAAGCATGAATTTTATACCAAATTTGTATGGACCTAGATGGAGATTGTGATGTCCTGGGTCTTGGACCCAACTTGAACATGCCTTTCGGACCTACCTTTTTCTTGTTCGATACCTTAATGGTTTGTGTCGTGTTGATGTTTGAGAATTCGGACTTGTTTAGTCCACTTAACGTTAGACCGATTTAAATATTTTTAGTTTCAGGTGTAGGGACGAAACTGAGGGGACCAAGATCACCTTGAGAAGTTCGGCCTGAGTTGGGTGGAACTGCACATGCGGGGGCTTAGGCTGCACGTGCCGGAGGAAGGGCCGCACGTGCAGGGTTGAGCTGGGTTGTTGTTTTGGTTCTGCATTAATTACACGTACGGTGGGAAAATTCCACACGTGCAGGAAGGGCTCTGCACGTGCAGTGAGGGGCTCCAGCACCAGGCGTGTGAAACTGCCTCGATTTTCGTGCTTTTCAGCCATGTATTGATCATTTGCCCCTTTTTCATTCATTTTAGAATCTCTCTCTCTCTCGCTCTCTCTCTACAATCTTTTCTCTCTTTTCTCTCATCCCTCTCTATTCAAAGCCTCAAATGTTTACATTTTCTTTTGATCCTAAGAATCCATTGAGTTTTGGATACTAGTTCCTTACATCAAAATGACGAGCATACTGAGGGCTTCGTTTTGACCGGTGGAGATCGAATTCCGGCAAAGTTGATTTTTGACTTTTCTCCTCTTCTCTCTTTGAGGTAGGAATTTCTTTGATCTTTTTCAATACCTCGTCTATAGATAGACATGTGGTAGCTTTTATTGCAAAAAAAAAAAAAAACCATGTTTGTTATGGATTTTTCAAAAATCATGAAAGGGATCTAAGACTTGATATCTGGGATTGAGATATGTGAAATTGATGGTTGTTTTGGGTTAATTGGGGAGTGGTTCAACATGTTCGTGTTGAGAAAGAGGAAAAACCCTAATTTTTGTAATAATGCCTAATAGGTAATAAGGGTTGAAATTTGTGAAATTATCATGTTATAAATTAAGGAATTTGATTAATGATTTGGTAATTAATTTGAGATTAACTCGGGTCTCATGAATTTAGCATTAACTTTGTGCTGGGTTGATTTTAGTTGAGCATAACAAATTGGTGGCTTGTTAATTGCTAAAAAAGGGGTTAACCGTGAGATTAGAATCATTAGGTTACACTTTTGTTGAGTTGAAATTGAATGGATTATGACTTGGTTATCCATGGATCGGGTTTTTGGTTAAATAAAGGTAATGAGTTTTTTTTTTTTTTTTTTTTTTAAATATAGTTGGTGTATTGTGAATTGGGAATTGTGGAAATTGATTTTGGAAAGAAGATGCAATTATAACTCTTTTGCAAATTAAGAAAGAACTTTAGGTAGAAGTTGAAAACCTTTGAATATTATGGTTGTTGTTGGACTTAATGCCTCATATGAATTGGATAATTGTATTTAGAAGTTTTGTCTTTGGTCATCAGTGGAGGATGACACTGTGATGTTGAAATTATTATGTGTATGTAGTACACTCAAGTTATTTATGCTTGTTGTACAAAGTGATGATTGGAAAATGTGCCTGCGCTGAGAATAAGAGGTACTAGTACCTTCTAGCTAGTGCTTGGAGAACTTGGCCGCGCTAAGAATAAGAGGTACAAGTACCTTCTAGCTAGCACCTAGAGAACTTGGCAGAGGTACCATTACCTTCCAGTCGATGTCTGGAAAATTGGCATTTTGTTGTGAAAAGATGTACCGTTGGCTTACTGTGCTTAAGGCAGGTAGAGTAGAGTTGTTTGTTATTATTGTTTCAGTGTGACTATGATATGTCACGTGTAATGATGAATGTGGTTCTGGGAGACCGAGTTGTCTTAAAAGTTGAGTAGGTAGTGGTTGGGTGTGTGTTGTTTCCATCTCTTGAGTTAAATGGTGATGTGTATACATGGATGTATCAAATTGATTGTTGATAGTATTTTCCTTAACCTTGGGTTTAAGGCATGGAAATGTGATAAATGTATTTATGCATTGAGGTTGTGAGAAACAAGGAAAAGAAAAATCGGATCTTTGTGATTTGTTTCAAAGGCAAGGCGATTATTATGTAATACTTTATTTAAGATGGAAAAACATGGTTATTATGTGATATTTTATTAAAGATGGGAAAATAAGGAGTGGATATGAACTAGTTGTGTTGTTGAATAAATCGGATGATTTTGAGAAAAGTGTCTATGTATGTATACTTTGGTTATAAACCATCATAATATGTATATGATATGATATGATATGAAGCATTCATGATCATAGCTATTTATATGTTATTACTGTTTAGGATCATGTTGGGATCCCTACTGGACTTTGTGTTCATCCCACGTTGCTAATGCTTTTCAGGTGATGTTAAGAAGTGTTCGAGATCGAGGATCACCCTTAGTTGTTGGCCACGGGGCCTTCTTATTCGTGGGTGGAATGCCGTTATTGTAAAAGGGTTAAATCCTTTCTTTTACTTTTAAAGATGTAAACCTACGGGCAATTTATTTAGTTATACTCTTGTTGCATTTATTTTGCATTCAGATGAGAGAATCTTTATTTATTCTTTCTCGTTGATGTAAAGAGTTTCTCCATGTTATCTCTGAAATTGAATTAATTTAATGAATTTGGTAATAGATTCCGAGTAATAAAAAGTGGGGCGTTACAAAGATCATTCTTTGGTTGGATAAACCATCGAACCTGGATGGAGATCATCATTTGGTCAGATATGCCACCAAACTTCGATTGAGACTGTTATTTTGGTCAGATATGCCACTAAACCAAGATGGAAACAATTCTTTGGTCAGATATGCCACCGGACATGGCTGGAGACCGTTCTTTGGTCGAATATGTCACTGAATCTAGAAGGGTTGGTCGCCTAATGATTGGAAAACTCCCTTATATGCTTGGTGGACCACAAGAGCAAGATGAATTGTGCATTCCCTTGGTAATTTGTGAAGCTTTCCCTTGGCAATTCCTCAGTCGAGTTATGTTACTTGGTGAATAACAAGGGCAAGATGAATTGTGCTTCCCCT